TACCACATAGGTTATCTCACCATTATATAAGATTATAAGATAAACCAATAAAAATTATATTTACAAAAAAAAAGATAATTGCAGTTTGGTTGCTTGTAGAATAGATACAAAGGTTTTGGCAAGAGAAAACCACTTTTACCGCTCTGCTATCTGCCTCCTGTTATTTCAATAAAAATAATTTTAAGGGAATTTACTTTTCTCCTAATGAATATGGAATCTGTACCCTATTTATGCTACTGAGAAAACTGGTAGCTCACCTATTAAACCCACTTAATTCTTGTGAACTACTTCATATGGTAGTCACTTTTATCAATGCGCTACACCATGAATGTTTTTTAATGTTTTTTGTTGTCTTTTTTATGATGTCTGTTATTAAGCTTCTCAACAGATCTGTGTTGTTTCGTATTTTGAAAAATCAGATACAATGTTATTGGGGAAAAAACTACATTTTGGTTAACGGACAATCCAGTTGCAACAATATAGGTAAATTGGAAGAATTCTAACCACACTTCACAGCTTAGTAAACATTAAAATATGTATCTTTAAAAGGATCTTGTACTCTCAAACAGTTTCATTGAGCTGGAGTCCTAACAATTTTCGGTTTACAAACCAAAAGCACCCACCAGCACTACTTTTCTCATCCACTGCTCAGACACCATAATGTTTGAGGCAGTGAGAGACTGATGCTATCAGTCTACAAACAGGTGCCCGTTGCACGTTACAATACCCAATGAGCAACCAATGATGGGCTGAAAGAATCAGCTGATTCTCTTGGCCTATCTTTGGCTCCCATGGTATGAATCCCTTATCAGTATGGCGGCTGTGTAGAGCATAAACAATGGGGATTTAGATAGTACAGATGGGGGCCCAAGGATCCAACTATAGTGTTAAACCACTTGAAAACCTTGAGACATTATGGTGCCCAGGGCCTACAGCCCCCCCCAAAAAGTAATTCCGCTTAAACCGGTGGAGAGTTCCTTTGATAATGACAATGACAATGAAACTTAGTTGCTTGCCAAAGTTTAGAAGATTTTCCTTATTTAGAAAAATGTATACACTATTTTTTATTATTAAGAAGTCGTTTGTCAAAGTCAAAGATTCTTGTATGACTTTTTCCTCTAAAAAACATACTTTTAGTACTTCTGCTAAAATCACTTAGTGTCAATGATGCTCTCAATCTGCCACAGAAAAGCACAGTGCAATATTGGGAAAGGCTAGAATAAGATACAAAAAAGGGTATTCTCTAAAATAAAATATATATTTGGGACCAGTTAGGTTAAAATTCTGTTTTTAGACCTAAATAATTGTTTTACCATTTTCAACTGACTTTTTAGCCTGAGGCTTTATGCTGAAGATGATCAATGAGTATAAACGATTGTGGAGTGAAATGTGAGTTCGAAAATTCTAAAAATGCAAACATCAGCCAGAAACTCTACCTGAAACTCGTACCGATATATATTTTTACACAATGGAAACAATGCCAGTCCAAAAAAAAAATGATGCTTGCTTCAGTGAAGTCCCTGTGGAAGCCGTACTTTAAGTTCAAATCCCAACGGAGCAAAACCAGTTAAAAACATCTACATAACGTTCAGTTGCCTCGGGGGTTGTTCCTGGGTTCTGTAGCACGTCACGAGGAGAATTGAGTGCTCACCTGCCCTTCCATTATAGTCTAATATCCTGAAGGGATGCTATTCAATTAAAATGTTGCAGGCTGCATTTGATTTGCCTCGAATAAAGAAAAAATAGCTGTGCATATGATCTCGGTGGGCAGGTGCTGGTCAGCACTCTGCAGAATCTTGAAGTATTCATGTTAACCTTCATTAGGGAGTCAGTACTTCTCCTCTTTCAGAAGGCTCCAAGCTTATGTGTGTCATTAAAAGCAATTGTTTTTGTTGCGTTCTTTTTGCATAGGATTTTTGGAGAGAATGGTATAGAAAGACTGTGTAACGTTATGAAAATCAACCATCCGACAACAATAAAGACTTACATTTTACATCTACTAAAAATGAATACTGCAGATTGGACTTTTACCAGCATCCCTAATTAAACGGGCAGTATGTGTACATTATATGTTGCCCTAGTCTTACATATAGTCTCACTTTAAATGAGGCATAAAATTAAACTTAAAGGGACACTGCAATGTTTTAATTGCAGGGTTAAGACTGCTTCTAATGGCTGTCTAGTAGACAGCCGCTAGGGGCGCTTCATCCACTTACATGGAGCTTAACTCCGTGAAATGATGCTGGACATCCTCAGGATGTATAGCACCTTCAAAAGCCCCATAGGAAAGCATGTGCATTAGGGTCCCGTATCACTGTGATGTTGTGGGAGGAGTAAAAAAAATTTTTTTTTTAACCCTTTCTTGACTGTGGGGGCCACAGAAGGCAAAGGGAAACTATAGTATTAGGAATCTTTTTTTAATTCCCAACACTATAGTGTTCCTTTAAACCAAGCATGTCAAACTCGCGGCCCGCGGGCTGCATGCAGCCCACAATGGACATTTTTGCGGCCCAGCGAGCCAGAAGTACATGCTTAGTGTTAAAGCAGAGTAGGCACCTGCTCTCCCCACATTGCAGGTGCCTACACTGCTAAAATGTACCCGGCCGGGAGAGAGGTCGCTGGAGGAGCTCAGTCTTCCTGCTCCTCACTGCTCACTTGCGCTCACCGTCTGTAGTGATGCCGAGTGCAGGAATATGTAAACTGTGCACAGGGAGGGAGCAGTGAGGAGCAGGAAGGAGATCTCCAGATAGAAGATCCCCACTGGACCCCAGGGAATGATGTGAGTGTGTGCAAGAATGTGTAAATGTGTGTGTGTGTGTGTCTGTCAGTGTGTGTGTGTCTGTCAGTGAATGACTGTGTGTGTGTGTGTGTCTGTCTGTGTGTCTGTCAGTGAGTGTGTCTGTCTGTCAGTGAGTGTGTGTCTGTGAGTGAGTGAGTGAGTGTGTGTGTCAGTGAGTTTGTGTGTGTCTGTCAGTGATTATGTGTGTGTCAGTGAGTGACTGTGTCTATCAGTGAGTGTGTCTGTCAGTGAGTGTGTTTGTCTGTGTCTGTCAGTAAGTGTGTCTGTGTGTGTGTGTATGTCAGTGAGTGTCTGTCTCTGTGTGTCTATCAGTGTGGGTATGTCTGTCAGTTTGTGTGTCGGTCAGTGTTGCAATGGCCATGGCTGGACAGTGGAGTACCTGGAGGTGCATGGAGGTGCGCAACGCCACGTCACATTCCGACATGACGTCGACAGGCTCCTTCACAGGGTTTCAAGAAGTAGCGGGAGGATCCGCTTTGGCACAGGGTGTGGACGGCGCCATTTGGGGTATACCAGAGGGCGGACTCCAGAGTCGCATACTGGAAGCGGCAATGTGAGTGGTGTCTATTTGTTGGCTGGGTGGGGTGCTGGGATTTAGTATAGGGAGGTGCTGGATTTTAGTAGAGGGGGGACTGGGATTTAGTAGAAGGGGAGGACTGGGATTTAGTAGAGGGGGGACTGGGATTTTGTAAAGGGGGGTGCTGTGGTTTAGTAGAGGGGGATGCTAGGCTTTTTTTATACTGTACTTTTCAAAATAAACCTATGTTTCTATGAACATTTAAGTTTTTGGGAGTTTTTGGCGGCCCACATAAACTTAAACCTTGTTTATTTGGCCCGTGCTACACACTGAGTTTGACATGCTTGCTTTAAAGCAATGACAGAGTCTCAGAGTTTAATGGGTTAATGAACATTGAAAAAGTAACAAAGGGCAAATTACACAATAAAATAACAATCTGAGGTTTCTCTCAGTTTCACTGGCACAGTTTATTCCATCAAACGCAATTTCTGGAGCCTCCTGTGTATATGCCCGACAAAGGATGTTTATATGCTTCATGGTTCATAATGAACCTTTTACGTTTGGAATTTGAAAGGGCTGAAATACCTGTCCTTATTGATTTGAAAGCATAGAATGCTTGGCTAAATCACCAACAGTTTTGCAGCAGGGAACCACCTCTAATAGATCCCTAATTGCGGGCATGCAGGGCAATCAGAGGCTGAAACAGCGTTCCTCCCATGGGGAGCAGATTACATGCCTCTTCTGTTCTTTGGTGTTAGGGCATTAAACACGCAGCATTCCTAGTAATTCAGCGTGGTCACACTCTGCAGTGTGCAAGGCAATGAGAGTGGGTGTGAGTGATAACCCATTATATATAACACAACGCCTTACTATATGCTACTGCCTCCAAGCAGAATGTGGGTTAATTTTTTGTGCATGTTTCACGTAAAACATGAACTCTTATTTATTATGATTCATATACTGGAAATACAATAGTGGTAAAGCTGGCAATAAAGTGGCACAATGTTTTAGCTCTATAATTATCTAAAAAAGTCAATTCGTGCAGTGATTGCGTTAAACTTCTTGTAAAGACAGGGAAGGTTACTTTCCTACTTAGTCACATACCTGTGCCATTTTCCTATATCAAATTATTTCTCAAACACAAATACTCTAAATCTTGCTGCAGTCGTATCAAGGAAAACGTACAACACAGCCGTAAAAATCTGAGCATGCTTGGGAGGGTAGGATTACATGGTTAGATACAGAACGTAAGAACAGGGCTGTATTTACATGATGAGCGTCTACAGGCGCAGAATTCTCAAGCGTGTCCTCCCATCACCACCACCATGCACAGATCACTGCATTCAGTCTGAGGGGGGCCTCGCACAGGTGGCTGTGTTCAGTTTGAAGGGGTGGAGCCATGCACAGATCACTGCGTTGTCTGAAGGGGCGGGGCCATGTAGTGATCACTGTGTTCAGTCTGAGGGGGCGGGGCCATGTATAGATCACTGTGTTCAGTCCTAGGGTGTGGGGCCATGCACAGAGCACTATGTTCAGTTTAAAGGGGTGGAGCCATGCACAGATCACTATGTTCAGTCTGATGGGGCGGAGCCATGTACAGATCGCTGTGTTCAGTCTGAGGGGGTGGGGCCATTAACTGATCACTGTGTTCAGTATCAGGGGGCGGAGCCATGTAGTAATCACTGTGTTCGTATCAGGGGCGGAGCCATGTAGTGATCACTGTGTTCAGTCTGAGGGGGTGGGGCCATGTACTGATCACTGTGTTCAGTATCAGGGGGCGGGGCCATGTACTGATCACTATGTTCAGTCTGATGGGGCGGAGCCATGTACAGATCGTTGTGTTCAGTCTGAGGGGGTGGGGCCATGTACTGATCACTGTGTTCAGTATCAGGGGGCGGAGCCATGTAGTAATCACTGTGTTCGTATCAGGGGGCGGAGCCATGTAGTGATCACTGTGTTCAATCTCAGGGGGTGGGGCCATGTACTAATCACTATGTTCAGTCTGAGGGGGTGGGGCCATGTACTGATCACTGTGTTCAGTCTGAGGGGGCGGGGCCATGCACTGATCACTATGTTCAGTCTGAGGGGGTGGGGCCATGTACTGATCACTATGTTCAGTCTGATGGGGCGGGGCCACATGCAGGAAGGTGATCGGGCTGTGTTCAGTCTGAGGGGTGGGTCATGCACTGATCACTGCACCCAGTCTGAGGGGGCGGACCATGTACCGATCACTGTGTCTGGGGTCTGGAGTGGGTGGGCTATGTACCGATCACTGTGTTCAGTCTGAGGGGGCGGGGCCATGTACTGATCACTGTGTTCAGTCTGAGGGGGTGGGGCCATGTACTGATCACTATGTTCAGTCTCAGGGGGTGGGGCCATGTACTGATCACTGTGTTCAGTCTCAGGGGGTGGGGCCATGTACTGATCACTGTGTTCAGTCTCAGAGGGTGGGGCCATGTACTGATCACTGTGTTCAGTCTGAAGCCGTGGGGCCATGTACTGATCACTATGTTCAGTCTGAGGGGGCAGGGCCATGTACAGATCGCTGTGTTCAGTCTGAGGGGGCGGGGCCATGTACTGATCACTGTGTTCAGTCTGATGGGGCGGGGCTATGTACTGATCACTATGTTCAGTCTGAGGGGGCGGGGCCATGTACAGATCGTTGTGTTCAGTCTGAGGGGGCGGGGCCATGTACTGATCACTGTGTTCAGTCTGATGGGGCGGGGCTATGTATAGATCAGGCTCCTTAGACTGAATACAGTGATCCCAGGAGGAGGATTTTAACAGGCAGAGCAGGCATCCCCTACAGGATTGTAGGCATGTGCCTACTCTGCCTAATGGGAAATACAGCTCTCCACCCACCAAGAATCTTGCCCCTGAGAAACCAACTTTTGGGGCATTGCTTGTTGGGCGATATAGCTTATTCCCCCACTATATATTTTAAGAAAATCAGCTCAATTAATAAATATCTTGAACTAGAACTTGTTTACAACAAGCATGTCAAACTCAAAGTCTAGCACGAGACAAATAAACAAAGTTTAAGTTTATGTGGCCGCAAAAAAAAAAAAACCTTAAAATTTCATAGAAACATAGGTTTACTTTGAAAAGTACAGTATAAAAAAAAAAAAAAAAACAGCATCCCCCTTTACTAAACCACAGCAGGCCCCCTACTAAATCCCATGCCTCCATGCACCTCCGGGTACTCCACTGTCCAACCACGACCATCGCAACACTGACCAACACACACACACACTGACAGACACACACACACTCCCTGACAGACACACACACACTCACTGACACACACACATACCCTAACTGACAGACACAGACAGACACACTTCCTGACAGACACACACACTCACTGACACACACATACTCACTGACACACACACACACACAGACACTTACTCACTGACAGACATAGACAGACACACACATTCACTGACAGACAGACACACACACTCACTCACTGACAGACACACACTCAATCAATCACTGACAGACACACACAGACACATATTCTTGCACACACTCACATCATTCCCTGGGGTCCAGTGGGGATCTTCTATCTGGAGATCTCCTATCTGCTCCCCACTGCTCCCTTGCTTGCAGTTTAGTGATGCAGGGTGCCGGAATATGACGTCATATTCCGGCACTCGACATCACACGGTGCGCGCAAGGGATCAGTGAGGAGCATAAACACTGAGCTCCTCCAGCGACCTCTACCCCGGCCGTGTAAGTTTTAGCAGAGTAGGCACCTGCAACGTGGGGAGAGCAGATGCCTATTCTGCTTTAACACTAAGCATGTACTCGCAGCTCTCCAGGCCACAAAGATGTCCATTGACATGAGTTTGACATACTTGGTTTACAATAACAGTGCTTAAATTTCCTGTGCAGAATTCCAAACCAAATTATGTTTTCATATAAGGTGTTGCTGAATTCAAGCTCTCTCCCATTCTCTGTTATTTTTTATCATGAGGTCTGTGAAGGTAAGTCAGATCTCAAGTGACTCCCATGACGGTTCCTTTTTACCGCGGGTTTGCTTTAGCGGGACGTCGCCACAAACCTGTACAACAAGTTCCATGCAGCTGACTGCCAGCTCGGCACGGCTGAATCTGATAAAGATCAACACATTAGCATTTCCAGCCGTGCTGAACCTGAGCCGAGTTGATAAGCTGGATTTTTTTCACTTTCTCTCTGCCCAAATGATGCTCAGGACAGAGTTGATAAGATTTAATCACAGATTGTTCCGTGACCGGTACAGACAGTCTATAGGGGTATTATAAAGCTGTTTGAATTGCAAGCAAAATTAGCCAAGTTGTAATCCTCTGCAGATAATAGGAGTTGGATAGGCTTAATTCAAGATAGGATGCATAAAAATGGCAAGTTGGGTGTTATTAGATCTCTAGGGGGTAATACCTCCCAATGTTAAAGTTATGCAGGTTACAATATACAAAACCAGCCACATCTCTAACAAAACCAGGAGGTAAGCAAAGCACTAGCTCCGCTACATACATCTACCTCTCCATAAGTATAACGTGGCTGCATAGGATCTGAATATTATGTTACATAATCACCAATCTTTAAAATAGATTTTAAAATACATTCATTGGGAAAATCATACAAAATTACCAAACAAGGATAGGTTTTCCAGCTGCCTCAGCTTCATGGGAAGTGATGTAAAGCAATTAAACGAGTGTCACTATTCAGCTATGTACTATGTACCCAATTTTTGTTCCATTGGTAAATATCCGCTATTATTATTAGCACTGACATAGTACCATAGGTTATTGTAACCTATTCTTGCCTCATAGAGACAGTGGTTTTGAATCCGTGCCATTTGCAGCATTTTATGCAAACTTATACATAGATACATTTCCCATGGCAATCCTTAGCAAAAGCGTATATTATGTGATTAAAATATAGGGGCATATGTGAGGGGTTGTGATGACATCACAATAAACCATGGAACCTAAATTCAAGTGGTTTATGAATGTCTCTAGGACACCCCTTTAATCATAGGGACGTACCATGAGATGAATGTACCAGGCATTAGTGGGAGATACATTCCCAAATGATGCAGGACTGCAATCATTGTTTAAAAGAATGCAGCTGATGCTAATGACTGCAGGCCTACTTTGCATTAAACTAACACCTGGTTTAGGGAGAAGAATGGATGCAACAGAGGCTGCGCATGCTCCTGCGGTACCCAGGTAAATTGTAAAATCGTGCTAAAACGGATTAACATTTTACCATGGGATGGTGTTAGAGCACTCCTTAGTTCTGGTTGCAGTTTTTCTGGTGGTTCACACGCCCCTGTAATGTTGGTAGACGCGGAAGCAGGTGTAGGCTAGGATTGTAACTCACACTAATATAAGGCAGGCTGACACATGGATGTTAACGATAAGATTTTTATCATCCCCACGCACGCAACATTTGAAATAGCAGTAATCCCTCTGAGTCAAATGAATAGATTATTATAACACGGTCTAGACAAATTCAGAGAACATAAATTTTTTTTTACTGTTGGAGCAGTATGAGGTATATATAATAGACCAGTGAGCTTGCACTCATTTCCATCAAATAAAACATTATGCTGGATCTAAAATTCCTAAAATTATCCTTCATAAATGTGTCAAATCCTGCTGTTAAAGTGGTTTTCTTTCTTGCTTTTGTACAAAAATAAAATGGCACTTTAAAATATTAAACCTTATAGATTTGTGGATTTTTCTTTCATCCTACAGCATTAACCTACGATGGCACAGACCATCACTGCCCCTCAAAGGGTTACGCTCATTTTCTGCAATGAGTGTTGTTTCAGGATATATCTAACACCATCACCATTACAACCAGTGAAACTACCAAGTCTAAGTATCCTATTTCATCCACCGCAAATGTGAAAAAAGCTACAAAAAAAAACCTTTATAAAAAAAATAAAACAATTTCCATTCTTTGCTCGAGTCTAACAGAAAGGTGATAATATTGCTCTAGCTCAGAGCCGCTGTGTATAGCTCTCTGTTCATTGTCAGCTTCATTAGATATTGCCTTGATTTTATTTTCAGTCGAGGGCATAAGGAACACGAAGCAAACTAAAACTAAACATTATGTCTCTCCAAAGAAATACTCCAAACCTTTTTTTTTTCTAAAGGCATAAAAAAAAAAATATCAGCCGTTTAGAGAAAAATTCCATTATTTGATGTGATTTTATTAAGCTTTGTCTTTTTTCCTACATTTTTACAGCTCTGTATGTATTATTGATATGGAAATTACTGTAATTAGCCGCGCAAAATGATCTGTTATTTATGATGCAAGTCAGAAGAGCAAATCGCTTGTGGGTGACTCATTATTATGCAAATGAAGGGGTGTGGTTAATGGGGCATAGATTTGCGACCCGGCTGCTGACGAACTCATTGAGGAATGAAATTTGAAAAATGTGCTTAACCTCTCAGACGAACAAGGTTGCTGTAGATTTGTCACACGGCCTGCGAAGGGTCCCTCTATTCACTATTAGCACACTGATACAAACTTGTGTGCGATCTAGCATTGTTAATGTACAGTACAATGGCAGCACACACAGCTCCGGGTATCATTTAAACATGCCTGATGTTAACGGTGATAAATTAGGCTTGTGCCTCAAATCACATGAATAAAATGAATTTGTGAGCAGTACAAAGTAACAGATTGAGCCGTGCCCATAGGACCAGACTAACATTATTTGTTATTGACAATAACTAAGCTGATTGTTGATGACCAAATGTTATCATTACCCATGTTTATATTATTCACTATAGCTTCATTTTTTGGACGTAAAGACGAAACGCCCTTGCAAGGGCTAAAACATGAATACCGAGGTTTGAACAGCTTCTGCAGTCGTGCTATTCATCAAGTGAGCAAGCTCAACCTAATGTTGTATGTTAGATTGTATCACTTTGTTTTAGGCTAAGACCATCAATTTAAAATGCAGTTTGAGTTGCTAGTTACAGTGCCACAACAAGATGTATGTACCAAGGCAGCAAATATGTTTTCGAATAAAAATGAAGCAGTTTAGCTGCCATTGTATTAATTCACACATGTATGGTAGATACATACTAATTTTCACATATATAATAGGTGCCGTGTTACAGTATACGCTTCCACCCTCTGAAGGAAAAAAGAATAATTAAAAAAATGCTTTGAGCGTTACACATAAACAAACACAGGCTGAAAATGGACAGGCCAGATGAGAAATAAGGAAAACAAAATGGCATGAATCCTGATTATTTCCCTACAGTTACACAACAAACAAGAGAACATTAATAGAAATAATCCTGCAGTTTAATATGTTTCTTGCTCCTACCTATTATGCCGATTTTAAAATGAAATAGCCTAGTTCACATCCCAAGCATTCTTGAACGTTTTCATAATTTAGCATGTATTTACTATTTTTTTTCTACAGCAACATATCAGGTAACTACCCTTCTGTATGGCAACTGTTACACTGATGTTATACATGGTTCCTACACTCTCCGACTTGCTATGGTGTTCTTTTGTTCTAATAATGATTACCCAGCCAATTCTGCAATTAATTATTATTTATCTTTTTCATTATGTCCAATGAGATCTGTGACTTTAAAGGTGGAACACCATAACCACTACAGCCCACTGTAGTATTAATGCTGTCATCACGACCGTAGTTTTTAAGTGATTTG